ATGAATCTTTGGGAAAGGTGGATTTATTGTAACAATGTACAACTAAAAGGTTCTTCACACCTCCCCTGGACTCTGTCTGCACCTCCCCAAGGGAGGTACACCTCAGTTTGAGAAACCCTGCTGTAACATGTTCTTTGACATCCGTTCTTTCACTTCAGTAGGCAGAAAGTTGAGAAAAAGCTGTATTGCTATCATTTGTCAAATGGAAGCTTGCAGTCAGTACTTTTCAGTGTGCTTTAAGTAATGTGCTGGAACTGAATTTCTGACTGCTGAAGGAGTCCCTCCAACTGAAATTCACCACCAAACACAGATTGTTTATGTTGATGACTGTGTTAATATGAGTTTTGTGCGTTGCTGGGCAAAAAAAGATAAAGACAGTGAACTGGGAAGAGTTGATTTGTGTGACTGAGGATGAAGTGATGATCTGTGACAGCAAATCATGTGAGTTTCACATGAGAAAACTTGATGAAATGATCAGGGACAATTAATGGATCATTCAGAGGGAAACTACTGTCAAGTTTGGCATTTAACATGAATATGTGGGTCACAATATCGATATTCTTCAATGCCAGAAGGTTTGTGCAAGATGGGTCCTCAAGAACTGAAATTTGCCAGCAATTGTCATACTGCAGAATGAAGGTGAGGAATTTGTTCATAGGATTGGGACAGTCGATGAAACATTATGACCTATAATGAAGCATCAGTCCATGGAATATCATTACAAAACTTCACTCTACAGAAAGAAAATTCAAACCCCAAGCTTTGGCAGGAAAACCCATTGTTACAGTTTTTGGAGAATGCAAATGGTGTTATTCACATAGTTTTCCTTGAACATGGCACCATTATAAAGTCAGAGTATCACACTGCAACATTCAAAACTTTGAAACAATGATTAAGTAGAGTTCAGAACCAAACACAAGCAAATTTTGCTGCAACATGACAATGCTAGGCAATCACCTGTCAGGACCTGACTGAAGAAACAAAGCTTTAAGAAGCTTGTCCTTTGCTGGCAGAAGTGTCTAGCAAATGAAGAAGTAAAATACAGATAACAAAAGAAATCATTCAAGGATTATTTTCCTATTTCATTTATTAAAATATCCTTATTTAAACTAAAGTTATTGACACTGAAGGCTTATTTTTCATTCAACCTTTGTTCAAAGCCCTTAGAGCTCCTTGTCAAATGGTGAGTGAAGAAACCTTTTTAAACAATAAACTACACTTGCACTGATAATGTTACGTCTGCAAGCAAACAACCAAGCTCAGAGAATACCGACTCCACAGTAAATTACACTTAGCCATATGGCAAGTATGACAGGCATAAATTTATAAAAATTCTTGATAACAAGACTGCTTCCTAAAGATTTCTGCTGAGAAAAAAATCTGGCCACATAACCTACCTGCCTCTTGTCGCAACACACCCCTAGCATCCAATATCCTGCAGGCTTCCAATGCACATTGGATCATTGCTTCTTTTTTCTTCCCTGAATGAACAGCTTCTGCCATAAGCTGTTTCCCTGAGGCATCATCTATAGGCAGCCTGTCCAGTTTAATGGAGTGAAAGAATAAAGCAAAATCAACAACGGCCTAAAACCTCTACTTAGAAACATCATATATAAATCTGAAAACTGTTCTTTAAAAATCATTTTAATGTTGCTGGCTATAAAACTTAACGTTTTATTTATTTCTACATAGAAACATACAGATTTTATATAGCGGACACTTGGATTTTATACTCTGTAAAATAAATAGCTATTAGCATTATAATTCTATGCCCAAGGATAGGTTACAGATGATTTTTTGTGATGCATTCATGGTAATAATTTCAATTTATTGTGAATAAATTATCAGGGGGTAGCTGAAATATCCTCTACGTTAATAGAAAGGAATTGGATTGGAATTGGGTACAGAACCTTTCAGCCAACCCCTCTGATCTGTTACTTAAATATTTTAAAATTGGCTTAAGCACAGTATTTTCCTGTTGTTTTAAAGGCAAACTATTTGGTTATTTCAAATTATTTTTCCATCCTAAATATACTAGTCAAAATCTCAGTGGCATAGGGTATAACAGACAAAACCAAAAAATAGTCCAAAAAAAACAAACACCAACCAACCAACCCCCCCCCAAAAATAAAAACCAACCCACCCCCTGCCAAAAATCAATTTTAGTTATCAATCCACATCTAGGAATAAGGGACATATAATCTTTTTCAGCCTGTCCAACTGAATGAACACATATACACAAAATTGTTGAATGATATACATACATACTTCACCCTACAAAGCCAGGTGCCAGTTCCATGGGAATCAAATTCATACTCTAATTCTTCACCTAGTTAAAAAAAGGGAAATGGGAATCAAATTCTTGGTTTTAAAAGATAGTTTATTTATATTTAAATTAATCTATATTTTTATTATTTTTGTAAACTTGTTAATTTAATTAAACGAATTAAACCATACTGACACTTCCAAAATGTCTGAAACAATTATTTGAAATCTTTTAGTTAGCTGGTTAATAGTTAAATGCTATCAGCTTTGCATAAAATTCCATCTGAAATGAATTGCTACGTTTAATTTTGATTCATCCATCAATTAATAGTAAAAGGTGACATCCAACACTATGCAAGCAATTTTTTCTTGCTCTCCTCACTTGCTCCTTGGGTCTCCCAGTTCTTCAAAATTGTTCTGGAGATGTTGAAGGAGAGAGGAATTCTATCACTGATGGATGCTACTTTTCCTACAGTTGCACATCATTGTATACAGGTCTTGCATTCATTTATCACCTTAAATATTTCTAGAGCTTATTCTGAAATGATTCAAATGGATCTTTATGTTCAGACCCACCTAGAAAAATCTAGATTGCATACATACAGTCTGAATTGAAATATTTCAGTCATCCATCAAAGAAGTAGTTAAGTATAATTTAGATTAATTTTCAAAATTTAAGTTTGAAAATACCTGAAAGGTCACCTGGACATTCAACAGCACCAGTATGCAGATGCTACCCAAACTCTCTACTTTCTAATTTGGTCCACACTTATATCTACAACAAGTAATGCTGGATGTGGCATTACTTATTTGGCAGATAAACCAAAACGTGGTCTAAATACCAATGACATGTTTTTAGTAAGTAGAAATGCGGCCTCAGGGAGTTCTATGCGCTTTAACAAAAAGGGTGTTCCTTAATTTATCTTTACTCTTAGATGGTTAGTGTACCTTCGTACAACTTTTTATTAGTTAGTCAGCTGCATCATTTCCCGGAAAACCACAAATTAGGTTATCATTAAATGCCCTAGCAACAATCAGACTGTTGCAATGCATTTTATAATAATTATTTCTGAAAAAGGTTTGTTAACAGCAGCAAATGCAGATAGGTGTGACCAAGCTGTTTAACTCCAGTATTAACAATTGGAAACACTGAGTTTGTTTCTCAGGTCAGTTAAAAAACTAAACAATTTGGGGACTTAAAAGCTCAGCAGCGTATGTTTCCCTTCACTTGGGAGCTTCCTACAGAGGTTGGATAGTGATTTGTCTGAAACGCTTTAGCAGATCCTACACCAAGCATGGGGTTGGACCAGATGACCTCTAAGGCATTTTTCAATTCTATGATTCTATCTACATGGTTTTAATGGCCTAAACTTATACTTAAATATGACTGTGAATCAAACAGGCAAACTCAAAATGACAATAATATGTCATTCTTCTAAACACCAGAAAGAGTCAAAGGCACTGGACATCTATAACTAGTACCTTCTCTGTCAAAGAATCCTTGCAATGCCTTTTTGGGATCTTTCAAATAAAACGCTTCTTGATCCTCCTGAAACTCAATAGCAATTGGATTTTCTTCACCTTCTTCTTCCTCTGCATCTTCCCCTGAAAAATAAATGCAGTTAGAATTAGGCATCAGAGATGAATCAGAAGACAATAAGAACATAAAACTTTGATCGAATTTAGTATGGCTGCTGTTACCTAGTCTAGCAGAGTTGCCAGCCAGATGCCTATGAGAAATCTAAAACAAGACATGTTCTAGATCACACTTCTACTCATGCTCTCCAGAAATTAATTTTCAGAAGCATATTGCTTTCGATACTGGAGAAAATATAGCCATGATTAGTAACCACTGCAGCCTTTCATTTCATACATTTATCCAGCCCCATGTTGATAGCAGTCATATTTTCCAGAAACAAACTCCAAATTTTAACTATGTGTGTTGTGAAATAGCAGTTATTTTTATTCCCATCATATAGCGTCATTCAAAGATGATGTGTTCTAATATAAAAGAGGGGATAAAAACTTTTCCCAGGTTAACCTTTTTCTGAGCAGGTGTGAATCATATTATTTGATATTTTCCAAGGGCTGAATGTTGTAGCCTTTTAGTCACAGAAAACTGAACTGGCTGCTGTTTTCAGCATTTTTATTAGTTCTAAAAGGTTTTCTCCTTAATGTGTTGACCAGAATTTTGCACAATATTGCCAGCATCAGAGACTGACTGCATTATAATATTAACAATTTTGTTATAGATTCACTTTCTTAATACCTTACATGGAATTTGATTTATTAAGCACTGCTTTCTTCCAATTATGGAAAAAAGTAATGCTTTCATGAAGTCATCTTTCATAACTCTGAGAATGCTTTATTACTGTGTCATCAGCTGAGTTAGGCATTTTTGCTCCAGTGTGTGAAAGAAATTGCATTCACAGAATCACATTTGCTACTTTAGTGCCCATTCTGTTAATCTGGAGAGATTGCTTTGGAATGCCTTCTTGCTGTAGCCATCTAAATTATTTAGTGATATCTCTCCACTTCACAACTCACTTCAAATATAACATATCTGGATAACTAAAAAGCACTAGTTCTAGTACAAGGGCTTGAATGATCCCACCATTTAAATTTCTCTACTATGAGAACATCCATTTATTCCTAGTCTCTTCTTTCCTTTAGTTAATTAATGAAGCGTCTATAGAGAACCGTTTCTCTTAGCAAATTACTGGTAATTTTGTTTACGAGTACATAATGGATCATCTCTAACTATATGCTTTTTAACACTGCTTTTCTATATTCTTTTGGAGATCTTTTACAGTCTTTTTATTACGAATAAGAAAAATCTCTCTCACTGCTGTACTGAATTTGTAAGACGGACACAAGATCCTTTGCAGATTCCCCAATATTTTCCCATTATAGATTATGATCCATCCCCATGGGGCTCTGGAGTAGAGAGTTACTTCAAGGTAAAGAGGACTCAAGTACTTGAGACTAAAAAGTTTTAGAAAAGCATTTCAAATAAATCTAGTGGAATAAATTTATAAACTAAAATTTTGAATCTAATGAATTTATCAATGTATTTTAGAAAAATACATCAATATAGATTTTTGATACAATAATATTTTATGTTTGGGAGAGAAGATGGCATGATTTTAGGTTATCTACTTATAAGTATGTCAAGCATGAAATATGAATAACTAAGCAAATTCAGCTATCTTCTTACTTGAGCGTGTTCCTATAGTTCTGTCCAGAAAAATCCATTACAAGCCTTGATAAAGAAACTTGTTACTTATTTGATTGTATTAATGCTTGCTATGCTAAATTTACTTGTAATCTCTGCTATGATTTTGGTCAATTTTAACATTAAACATATTTTGCTTTAGTAAAAAAAAAAAACTTTTTGCCTCAAAGGATGATTTAAAGATAAATTTTGTTGTTGTTCAGTTGTTAAGTCATGTCCGACTCTTCGTGACCCCATGAACCATATTG